TATATAGGGGTTCAGTACTCAGCAGGCTGAACCAGCAGTGGCACACATCCATGGGCTGTACCACAGTGATCCACTGGCCCCCCTGAGACTGCATGCTTTGGAGATTCCTGTCCACCCCTGCCTCCTCCCAACTGCTACACAACTCATGGCTCCAGGCTCACCCCTCTTTTCCCCCTCTCTCTCCCCTTGGCTGTGCTGCAGTGCACTGTCCCTGCCCGTGGGACAGGGACAGGCAGTGAAAGCTGGAAGAGGAAGGGGAAGCCCAGAGTCTCTAGCTGCAACAGCAATGGGGAGAGCAATGTGGGGAATCAGTTGTTAGGCAGGTGGGCAGCCCTGGTGTAGATGGGAGAATTGAGGTACAGTGATTAAGTGACTGTCTAACCTCACTTAAAAAACTGTTGCACAACTGCAGGGGCAACCCAGATCTAAGAAGCAATCCAGTGGGTTTGGCTTGGTACAGGCATTCAGTTTTTCCTGGGAGAGTCACTGCTCTCCCAGGACAAACCACGAGTGTACAGATGTTTAGGCTTTTTCTCCCATGGTAAAAATTGCCACTCCAGGAGAAGAATAACCGTGGAACAACTAGGGAGGGTTAAATCACTCCATGGAGAGTTTCTTCTGGAAAAGCGAATTTCTGTACATTCCATGGCTTGACTCAGAAGAGAACATAGCACTCCAACATCCCCTCCTCTCTCTCCTAGTGAGATAGTGAGCGTGTCTACACGTGCACTTGTGCGGAGAAGACTAATTAGCTCTACAGTAAAGTATCGCTGTCAACACATGTGGTGTTATTAGGTGCAGTAAACTAATTAACTCTGCCATAAGATAGTACTGTCCAGGACAAGTACTATCTTATGGTGGAGTAAATAACTGCAATTAAATGCACTTGTAGACACTGACTGTGGGTGTAAATTGCACCCAGTCAACCTTGGCAGCTTCAGCAGTTTTGTGCCCCAGCTAGCTCCTCCACCACCCAATGCAGGCACCCAGAGCCTACCCAAACCCTGGGCTGCGCCAGCACTGCCAGATGCCACCACCCACTGCCCGGACCAGACTTCCCAATCTTGCTGCTGACACTGCCACCCACCGGAGCCTCCTTGAACCTGCTGCCACCCACAGAGCCTGCTCCTAGCCGCTGCCATGTTGGGCCCCATACCCACTGACACACAGGGGCGGAGGCCCAACTGGACACATGATGAGACTACTGAACTCATAGCCATTTGTGGGGGGGGGACATGGCGGTCTAATGCCAGTTTGTCGATGCTACGTGGACCAATGCCCACATGTTTGAGGAGATGGCCTGGCAGATGCAGGAGCGCAGTCACTGGCAGTCCAGCCACCAGTGCTGGGTGAAGGCCAAGGTTCTGAGGCTACCATATCTCTGCATCTGGGTCCATAATAGGCAATCTGGGGCTTCCCCCAGAACCATGCCCTTCCTCCTTAAGCTTGAGAGAATCCTGGCCCCCATGGACCCTGGCGAGGCCCCTCACATGTTCTTCACCATGGGTGGGCTGGAGGAGCCTGTGCCAGGGGCCACAGGCCAGGAGGACTCTCTGGGGGAGGCCACCTTGTGGCTGCTGCACCATGCCCTGCCATGCTCCCCACCCTCAGCCTCACCTAGCAGCTTGGGCAGCCTGGGCCACCACCTGCTCTGGCTACTCCGGCAGCAGTCAACCAGTGAGGAAGACAGGGGTGGGGATGTTCCCTGCAGATGCCAGCTCCGGCTCATCGCCGGACAGGGCCACTGCCCAGCCGGTCACAGACCATGCTTTGCTGCCCTAGATGCATCGGCCATCTGGACCTCATCTCTGTGGCCAGGGACAGCATCTGACCACTGGGAGCAGCTGCCACACCCACCCAGTAAGCCTCACACAGGGAGCAGGGCCAGAGGGGGTGGTGGTGCTGTGGCTACCTGTGCCTGCGCCAGCTCACCTGGCTGCCCCTGGGCTGTGCGCCTGGAGCTAGGGGTCCCTCACATGGTGGATGAGGGACCTTCTCCCTGCCCTGCCTGCCTGAGCTCCTGCACAACCACTGGAGCCCCCTCTCCTCACACAAACACGCAGGGAGGCAGTTCAGAATTTTACTGAGCACCCAGCGGGCTCCCAGCCAGGGGCCTGTCGCATGCGGAAAAACTCACCAATGGCAGCAACGACGACTCCTCAACCACAGGGGTCAGGCACTTGTAGCACACAGATACCCCTCCAGGTGGTGGTGCATGTTGTGGGCAAGCATGGGCTAGCCTGGGTCACCCTTGAAGCTCAGAGCCCCACACCAGTTTCTCAGCTGCTTCTGAGGGGTTGTGATCAGCAGCAGCAGGGCATAATGGGTCAGGCAGCCCTCAGAGCACTCAAACATTTCGTTGTGGTGCACCTGGGTGATTCTGACATGCTTTGGACACAGCCCATGTATGGTGGGGGCCCTGGCCTGGGGCGCCTCTCTGGAGTGGCCCACTAGGGGGAAGGAGGAAGTGAGGGACATCACCAGCTCTGTGTGCCAGCCAGGTGGGAGCCCCTGAACCCCAGGACTTGGGTGCCACAGGCCCAGTGGCATGGGACTGAAGTGCCTGGCCTGTACGGAGGAGAAGGTGGGGAGTTGCTTTGGAGCTGCTCTGGCAGCTGCTGGGAGGGATCAGGTAGGGCCTGGCCTGGGTAGGGTACAGGGAAGACAGACTATGTGCAGCAAGTGGCCCACCTGCCCCTACTGTGGAAGTAGGGAGAGAAGGCTTACCTGGCAGCTGGCCATGCCAGAGACCACCCTGGCAACTTACAGTGGTCCCTGTGTGCCTGTGCCCATACAACCCCTAAATTGAGAGCAGGCAGTGCATTGCCCCTCTTTTCAATGCATGTTACCACTGAAATTCTGCAAACTCTCACAAGTAGCTTCTCTGTCTTTGCTCTGCAGAACCAGTTGCTGGACTTGGGGGAGAACCACCTGGCATTAGGGGAGATGGGACCCCAAACCATCTGCAGCCTCTGCTGGTGTGCTCCACATGCACTGACTCTATCAGTGCTGGAGCCAGGATTGGATAGCTTTCCTTGACCAGCTGGTCACTGCCTCTGAGGAGCAGCTTGAGGAGAGTCAGACCTGACACTGCCACTGGCCCCACGAGTTCCATGGGATGTGACAGGCCATGGAGCTGTTGGACCATGAGGTGTACCATGTCCTCCTGAAGAGGCTGGTGAATTCCCTGGGGCACAAGCACGCCATGGTGAGATGGGCGACAGCCACCACTGAGGACAGCCAATATCACTGACTCAGTGCTGGCCTTGACCATGTTTGTTGCCATACCTGGTGTCCAGGCTCTGGCCATGGCCCTAGTTGATTCCCTGGCAGCCATGTGTGGGTCTGCTTTAGGTCCCTCAGTGAGCATGGCACCAGGTATAACATATCTTGCATCGAGCAGGGACCCCAGCCTCTGCACCAGATCTTGACCTGCTGGTGGATGGGCCACTGCTTCATCTACCATTTGCCCTAGTTCCATGTGGGCCCTGAGTGAGCAGTAGCCATGATAGGGCCTGCTCCCCACATGGGCCCTGCTGGCCCCAGCCCCGTGGAAGAGGAGGGGTAGTGATCTGAGCAGGCTGGAGAGCTCCTACCTTTGTCCCCAGGCCAACCCTTGAGCCCCCCAGGCTTGCCATGTCATCCCAAACCAAGGTGGTGGTGTCCAAGACTGGCGTACCAGATACCTCCCTCTGGGCTCTGTACCGCAGGCACCTCCTGCCCACTGTTCCCTCCCTGACATTTTTAAATAGATACTATAAATATGGGGGTAAGAGTGTTTTATTGGTAGTGCAGTGTGGGCTGGTGGGGTCTATTGTTGTGAGGGAGGGAGGTGTCTGTTGTTGGGGGGAGGGGGTTTGCTAGTGTGTTGGGGATGGAAATAAAGTTTGGGGTTTGTTGACAGCTCTCCTCAGTGTGCATGTTCTTGGTGTTGCACTGTGAGCCTGTGGTTCGTGGGTGGCCTCCCAGGCACCCTACTGTAAGGGATTATAGAAGCCATGGTCTGCAAGTGCCTCATGGATGCAGTGCCTTGGCTGCCACTGCTGGATGTGGTGCTTGCCACAGGACTAATAGGCAGCTTCCTTTTCATAATATAACAATTACACCAAGGCATGGGAAACAAGAGTGGAGGGGAGAGTACCTAGAATCAAGTTGAGGCTATGGCCATTTTGCCACCAGGGGACAGCATGATAACCTCTGCATCCTGGTTCTGCTACACTGAGGAACAAAGTTCAGGGAAGCCTTTTAAAAAGTAGCGCTGTGGATAGCTGCAGGCAGGTGTGGCCGGAGCCTGCAGCTCCCTCTGGATCCTGCAGCAGAGTAGGAGCAGCCCCCCCCACAGGTGCACATGTCGATGCTGCACCTGGGGGTAGTTCACTCTGGCACAAATTGCTCCAGTTTGTTCAGTCAAATTAATTGTACATGTAGATGCACAAGCAGCAGTAAAGAGCAGAACATGCCTGCCCCCTTTGCAATCTCCACACTGTGCTTCAGGGAAGCATGGATTGACCATGGGCACTTTAAGCTCTTCACTTTTCAAATCCTTAGCATTTGAATGTCTGTACATGCAGCTCTGAGTGGGTTTCTCTACCAGGAAAACAAACCTGGTAGAATTCTCCCAGGTTATTTGAACGTGCATATGCAGCCTAAGTTATAATACCAGTTTTTATATCTTAATAGAAGTTTGGAGGTCCTTAACATTCCTACCTAACATGAGGCTGTTTACAGTTTCTTATGGAATACATTTCACTTAAGAATATTAGAATTGTACACAGCTTACCATTTGGTGTATAGGGTTTTTTTATTTTTTTTACTCTAGGTATCTGGGTCTTTACCCACTCATTAGGAGAGTTTACTGTAGTGTAATTTGTAACTGTCATCACTTCTAATCAAGGACAGTAAAAGCTATATCATAATGCCATTTACTGGATGATTGATTGAGATGACAGACAGTCTAGATCTAAAGTTTTGTCATGTTATAACTCTCTACTCTGGTTTAGGCTGTGGGAGAAGTTGCATAAGAGAAAAGGAGGAATAAGACTGTTTAAGTACATATACTGAAAGTAAGTGTTAATTTCTTTATATGAAATTAAATGTTTGTGTGCATTTGTGCGCAGTTGCTCCACTCCTAACAGCCAAAGGTTAAATTTAGCTCCTGCTTGCCCAAGCCTTTTTTAATGGTCTCTAACAGGTTTTGTTTATACAGTGGCATACAATTTCAGTTGCCCAGTCTGCTGTAGTAGCCTTCCTGGAACATGCTTTATCTCTATCATTTATCATTCCTCTGAACTTCCTGAACTGCATGCCCCCTGCTTGGATTGAGGCTTGCAGTATACCTGCTATGGTATTTTTCTCCTCTTCTTTCTTCTGCCCATTTCTCCTACCCCCTGGGAAGCTCCTCCCCCACATGCTTTCTAATATCGAAGCTTTCAAATTAGGACTTGCTCTGAAATTGCGGTGGAAAGCAATTTTTACCGTAATTTTTTAATTTTGTTAATGCATTTCTTGTCTTTCTTCTCTTCCTCCTCTTTTTTCTCCTCCTGCTTGCAATCAACCCCTTCCCTCTTTTACTATTTTATGTCTCTAATTACGTTACAGATAATCCTTTCTATGCCAGGATTCTTGTGCATTCCTATTCCAGCCACCAAAACCAACATTTTTGCAGGTTATCACCACTAATTGTATGTTCCTCATATGTATACGTGGAACAGTGACATAATACTGAATACAGAATGTCTGCTTATTCAATGAGAACCGTCCATTGTGTGTCTGAGGCAAAGGCCCTGTGGAAAAATATGGGATCACATAATTCAAGACAGCATCACAATGCATATGCATAAGATGCTGAACTAAGATTTATGCAGGAAATCTTAATTCTGGCATTTCCTAACTTTTTCTTTAACTTTGCTACCTTAATAATCTTTTAATGTAATTATTTGTATGCAGAATATATTAGGTGCAGAAAACAGATCATTTGGTTTAAATTCTGGTCACATTTCAAATCTGTTAGAAAATTCACAGTGATTTCAAAGGGATTAGTATTTTTTCCCTGTAAATGATATTGACTGGAGTAATAAAAAAACTTCTGTGCGTATGAATCTTTGCCTCTCTTAATAGTCTGAAAACCTTGTAACTAGCCTTTTTTTGGGGCTGAGACCTAGGACCTGGCTTGGTTAACTTGCAAAGAATTTTAACAAGACAGAGAGAGTACTTAAGGCATTACAATTCACATGCAGGTCACAATATTAAAAATAATTTTTCAGACCTTCCTAAGTCCCATTTTTAAAACAGTTTAGGCCTCCTAAGGCAATGGTTCTCAACCTTTTTTGTACCAGGACCCATTTGTAAACATTGACCAGTCCTGACACAGTAAATAGTTTAAGTAGAAAACATACAAGTATTTTGGCCCCAAAATACTTATTATATACTACAAAATAAATTGGCTCAACAGTCTTAATTTTAAAGATATAAATCAACATCAACAAGGAAATATTAACAGCAATATCAACATGTGGCCCTCCATCACTCCCAAGTCACATTCATAATTGTGCAATTTGTACAATGCAAATTTCTGGTGCCCCTCACTCCTGACACGTAGCCCCCTGTTCCCATCCCCATCCTCCCCACCCCCGCAATGCTGGAGGGGCCCCCAGTTGCCCCTCTCTCACCTGGGCAGGAATACAATGGCTCCAGCTCATGTGAGCGGCAGTGGAGCAAGTCCAGCCCTAGCATCGGCTGGAGAGAGGAGGAGGAGGAGAGGCCTGTGGCATCCTCCACCCTGGACTGGGGTTCTCCTGCTATAGAAGGAGGGCTGGCCATGCCCCACCCCGCAAGTGTTCACGACCCTTTCAAGTAGTCTTGTGACCCACTTTTGGGTTGTGACCCACAGTTTGTGAAGCACTGTGCTAAGGCACTTGGGCACTTCTGAAACTTTGCCCCTGAACTTAAAAAGTGTCCTCTCATTTTCTTTACATCTTTTTTATTTCCCTTCATTTTAGTATTGTCAAAGCTTTTGAACAGAATGTAGGACACCTTTTCTCTGATGATCTGACACTTCCTACAATGGGAGCATGAAGAGTTGTTGTACGCAGATGGACATGTGGCATGGTATCAGTGAGTTCCTTATTGGCTGTTTTCATGACAGCAGGCTCTCCTTCTGGTCAGTCTGACTGCACAGCACTGTGTAATAGCATATACACACCATTTGTGTAAAAGTAAAGTATAATCAATAAGTACATAAATAAAGAAAAAATGGACAATTTAAATTTTTATGGCTCTATGATTTTGTTAATGCATTGTGTTTTGCTGTTATTTGTGCATTTCAGTTAACATTTGGGTAACTAGTATCTAGCCTCAAAACAGATGTGGAAGACACTTTTTGTCTATGGTTATAGGCTGAGATTACAATCTATGGACATAGGTAGGGATCTACCTAAATTGCACTGAAAATGCATTGCGCAGCAGCTCCTTTAATCTTGCTATTTTCACTACATGCCCCACACCTCTCCTCCTCGGCTCTGATTGGTGGAGGGACCCTGGCGGCTCCACTGCTCATTGCTTGCTCCTGATTGGACAGGAGGCAAAAACCATGGTTTAAAATATGCTGCAGTTTTTGCCTTCTGCCTTGATTTAGGTAGATCTCTAGACAGGGTTTAGAATAGCATATTGTCCTGTGATAGTAATTGAGGAGAAGCCAGTGGAAGTAGAGGGTTCAGTTTCTTTCCTACTGCACCAACTTTAAGGAAACAAGTTTTTAATTAGTCTTGAGACCTGGAGCAGCTTATTCCTAATTGAACCCTGTGACCTTCTCTTAGATGGTGGTTCACAATGTCTAGATTTTGAGGATGAAGAAGAAACCTGGCAATGAGATTTGAAGCTACATTACGCAAAAATGCGTCAATAATTCAGGCTGATTGATAGCTCCTCTTGTAACCAAAATCACATGCAATTTTTTTATTCCTATAGCATAATGCATCCTGTATGTATAATCAGTTCTGTTGAACACATGGTGTTGCTGCTTTTCACGAAACACTCCCTCCCTACTTCCCTAAGCAGAATCTTTAAAAATCAATTCACATAATCCATTCAATCTGAAATACTGGAGATGCTGAAGCCATTATTCCACAATTCTTGCATTTTAGGTCCCTTCTATGGAAACAAAGCTATTCACAAGGCTATATTAAATGTCTGTCAGCATTTCCACTGAAACATTTTTTTCCCAGAGGTTTATCATTTGTTTTCCTGGATGAGACTAATTGTACCAATGTTATTATTTTTCCTTTTGAAAAAGTTTTTGGATTTTTAAAAAAACTTATACTTCAAATACAAACAAAAAGTATGTTTATTCTGGGGAGGGATTTCTGGGGAATGCCTTCTGTTTTAACACTCAGAACTTGGTCCAGTCCTTATTGAAGTCTAGGGACTTCATTGATTTCAACAAGAGTCAAATAGCTTACAAATTGTGCATTATCAATGTGAATTAACAGGTTCTGATATTTTTGCATATAGCTATATCTACTTCAGTGTGAGTGTGCATGCATGTACACGTATGTACTGTAGAGACTATAGTACATATCTTCTCTTTTGGAGGGTGGGGAGGGACAGCATTGTGGGGGTTTTTTAAATCCCAAAGAAAATTTTGTTAGAGACTTTGAATATACATTTTTAAAGTACTAAAAACATGTAAGATGCATTTAGTCATTATGACTGTAATAGCTCCCAAAGGAGACTGAATGGTCCAAGGCAGTTGTGTAGTTCCAAAGAGCTGAGCATTTGATGATAAACTTCCCATCTAGGGAATACTCCATAACTTGGAAGTAATATTTAATATGAAGTTTTTCAGAAGTATTAAAGTTTCTGTGTATAAAAGCAAACAATGCCTTAATGTCCTAGTGGGTCCCACAAAAATCCGACTATAAATGAAACTTGCACTTCTTGCTAGTAGGTGGTGTTTCATATGCTATATTGAGACTAATGCAGCCCTTGTAGAAAAATGCAGTGGTGGCCAACCTTTTTGGCGGGCATGCCACAAGTTAAGCCCCGCTTCTTCCCCAGATGCCACTCTGATTCCTGCCTTTCAGAGACCTACGTGATAGTTTGCCCCTGGGGCACCAGAAGTGGAGGCAGGGGAGATCTGAGCCTTTGGCTGTAGTCCTGGGAAGCCGAGCAAGGGCAGGATGCTGCTGCAAGAGGAGGCATTGCTGCCAAGAGCCACGTTAATAGTTTCCTGTCTTTGCAATCATCTAGGTTTTATATGGTGAGCAAGGATCCAGAGCCCTGAATTCAGTGGTGACTGCAGAGTTAGGCAAGGGTTAACCTGGCTCTTGACAGTGACACCTGATACATGGTCTCCCAGCAGCATTCTTCCCCCCTCTCCCTCCTCTACTCCATAGAGTGCTTTACTCCTTTTCTGGTGCCTCCTTTTATTGTCTGCTCTGGTCTTGCACGTCAAAAGCTGCAGCTGTCTGTGCCACAGGTTGGCTACCCTTGAAATAATGCCCCTTCTCATGATTTGAGGTTTATTTTCATTTGTTGCTTTTTTAAAATCTATGTTCTGTTTAGTTAAGTTCAGTCTAGTCTCCATGCATATTTAAAAATAAATAGGATTTTGAAAGCACTATCATGTAGGTAAACCTTTGTTAAAAGATTATTAGTCCTTTATTTTAGATTTGTTGATCAGGAGTTCCTGTTATGCTCCAAACATGCAAAAGCAGGTTATTTTTCATGGGAGACTATATAGGAACATGCAACAGACTGAAGGGCAGAGCACAAGGTAGCAATAAGACAGTCCTAGTCAGCATGATGAACAGCAGTCATAGCACACTGGTGCCTAAACCAAAAGCAAACAATTGTTGAAAAGCAAATGGTTCTTCATTGCCTTTTGTGGAACAAATCCATAAAATGTCGGTGCTCCCTTACTGCAGGATGTGTTTGGGTGAGGAACTGTGCAGAATAGCTAAGTGATTAGATCCACAGATTTCAATGCAGTAGAATAACTAATGTATTTAAGGATGGCATAGAAGTATGAAACTTGCATAACATAAGCTGAGCATTTTAATGAAAGATAAAGACAATCCTCTGAGCTTCTAAAGGTATAAAAGAATTATAAAACATACCTTGTGTTTTTGCAGGAGATTAGGTAATCTGTCCAACATTACATGAAATATGAATACTTGCCAGAATTCAACAAAGGACATAAACCCTGTATTCTTAAAAATGGACTGAGTTGTTGTAGTTTCAGGTCGACACCCTCAAGACTGCCCCATCATACCCTTCCTGGCCTTTCATAAATGTGGGAGATCAGAGATAAACCAATGATCAGACTTTCAATTTCAAGAATTGGTGTTTTGAGTACAGGCCTAAAATGGGCTCATTAAGAATTATGTATATTTGGAGCTCTCTGTCACCAAAGGAAATATTGGCAGCGTGAATAACATAAGTACTGTCCCAATTGCAAAGGCAGGAGTCTAAATCACATGAAATTGTCCAGCATTTCTATAAGCTGTTTGTGCACTGTTACCAAGCAAAGACAACTTAGTAGTTGTCACTTTGAAATGTAGTAATGCTTCCACACTGTTTTTGAAGGAAAGGCAGCTGAAGCCTACTTTGTTCAGTCAAAGGGCACTAGCTAATGAGTTTTCTGTCCTAATGGAAGTCACTTTCAGCTATTACAAGGCTGTGGTCTGAATAATGGTTGGGGGTGAGGGGACACCAAAAACATGATTATGAATGAGAATCAAGTTTAAAGGGTTTAAGGTGATAAGTTAAAAACCCCAAGCTTGTGGATGGTCCTTTCCTTTGTGCTATGAATCAGGGCACAAAGCAGCAAAGAATAAAATTATAGTGCTTTGCACTTTTATCCAAGGATCTCAAAGAATAAGACAATCAATTCATCAATCTTGGCAGAAACCTTTGAGAGAGTTAAGCATTTATTCCTGTTGTTATGCATGGATAGACAGAAGCACAAAGCGTTTTTGCTAATATGGCATATTTGTGACACACACAGAACTAGAAACTGGAAATCTGTACCTCCTGGTCACGTCCTTTGGTTGCTAAACTAGGACGCATTCAGCAAAGCTAAGAATTGTGAGGAGAAAGGGAAGCATTTCCTCCCTATCACTAGAACTCTGCCTGCCATTGGAAAAGCTGTGCTTTTTATATATGTTCCCCTCAAAATTAATGACTTTGGTGAAGTTAAATTATAGCAAGATAGATTTTTCACTAGCTAAATGATTAATAGAACACATTTTATTTCTAGTCAGAGCTAGTAATAGCAGAAACGTTACGTTTATAATATAAGTAGAAATCCTTCTCAGGGAGTGTTACCTCAAATCAGTAAATAACAGCATCTCAAACTCCAAAAGGATGATTAAAAAAAAATCTTCTAACTATGTCTCCTTTGCTGTCATATCTTTCATCTCATGGGAACTGCCTGCCTCTTGTTTTAATCCCAAAATGTGAGACCTCCATAATAAAACTCAGTCTTGCAGGATAGAGCAATACAAAAATCCATCCATCCCAGTAGATTTTACTTTTACTGTAAAAGAATAGCAGCTAGTTTTAAATATAGATATATTTCTCTGGTCTAGAAATTTTGATTGGGTTTCCATCCAGCTTTAGACTCTATGCAGGGTACGTTCTCATGTAGCTCTCTTGGGGGAATACAGCATTGTAGTAGGAAATCAGAATTGCTTATCTGAAGTATCTTCTCAATCCGTTTGGAAAAGAAAAATCCAGACTGCCCTACTTCCACCCCATCAGGAAACTCTGCTAACTGACATGTCTTTAGTCTGAGCTACCTCTCAAGGTCATCAGTGTAATTTTTAAAGTCTTGCAGGCTTTAGTATTCTGGCAGATAATAGCATCAGGCCCATCAGTGATTATCTCCTAGTCCTCAATTTTCTTTTGGCTTCCTGCAATTTCATCCAACCGTCCACTAATATTTACTGCATTCTTTTAAAATAAATCAAATAGCACTTCCTATGCTGACTCTGGACTTAATAAAAATCAAACACGCAGCATCAGGACTTTAAAATAACACATTTTAATACAAACATGTGAGATATCTTTTGAAATCTGTGCTGGATGTTTGTTTCCTGCTGGGCTTAATTTAAGACTCTAGTGCTAGCATTAAACCAAAGCGAAAAATGTTTGCTCTTTCATCTGTGTGCCACATCCCATCCACAATCACAAACAGCTCCTTTAAATTTCTGTTCTTTGTCCCCTTCTGCAAATGTATAATGCACGCCTGTCT